ATCTACTTCTCCTTTGTGTATTGTATTTTATGTATGTATGTATTTCCTTCATGTATTGCAGCACAATAGCGGAGGTGTCTTTCCCACCTCTAGCTGATGTGTATAACGATGATGATGAGTGATGGATATGACGCGGATTGCTCACCGCTGTCTCCCGCAGAAGTTGCACAAAAGTCGTCTGAAGCCGAAGAAAGCTCCGGGAGCGGACGGGGTTCCAGCCGAAGTCTACAAATCTTGTCTACCAGCTCTCCTTGGCCATTTACAAGAGCTCTTCTGCTCGATATGGGCGACTCAAGTCTGTCCTACTTCGTGGAGCACCTCACTAATACAACCATTTCCCATGAAAGATGACTGAACTGTGTGCAGTAATTATCGGGGGATTGGCCTAGTCGATGTGGCTGCCAAAACCTTCGCACGCAAAATTGCTTTCCCGCTTTGCCAATGAGAGGAATCTGCGAACTCTCTATAGCTAAGATGGCTTTCTTTCAGGCATTGGATGCACTGACCAAATCTTCACTGTACGTCGAGTACTGGAACACCACTACAAGTTCCAGCAGCCTACGTTTGTGTGCTTCCTTGATTTTTGAGTTGCCATCACCTGAGTTGACCGCGGTGCACACTGGAGAATGCTACTTGCCGATGGCGTTCGGTTAAACTCGTTAACTTGGTAAAATCATACTACCGTTGCACGAAGGCCCGTATTTGGGTCTGTGGAGAAGAACTAGGAATTCGGCATTAATACTGGAGTCCAACGGGGCTGCGCACTGTTACGTGTTCAACCAATGATCGCTCACTATGACCGTGAACGTGATTGGCCCTACACACACACGTAGATAAGCACGCACTCAAGGACACACCCTAACTTTCCATGTTCACATGTAAACCGTTAAGTGCTCAGTATACTGCGTGCCAGACTGACGCGTCTTCTTGCTTATTCACTACTAGTTGAAATACGTACTTGCGGTTAGAGTCCAGCCGTGATATCTGGCGACGGAGGTCAACATGTCCATGACAAATACTCCACCGGTCTTCTGGTCGTGCTCTACCGACAAACCTTCCCTGGACTCGTGGCATAGATGGCGGAAAACCTTTACGGATTACTTGGAATTGCTTCCAATCTTGAATCCAGCAGTATCCCTTACTGAGAAAAACAAAGTGAAGCTCTTGAGACAGTTTCTTGGAGATGAGGGTCAAAGGTATTTCGATGCACTTCGCATTGATCAAATCTCTTCTACGATAACCGGCGCTTTGGAGACCTTCAGTGCTCTTTGGGGTGCTCGTCAGAATGCTTTTACGGCTAGATACTACTTCTCGAAACTCTGCCAGAAACCAGAGGAGAGTGTGAACGAGTTCATCGCTCTTGTACTACAAGCAGCACCTGATTGCAAATACAATGAAGTCGATCCAACGAGATTTGAAGAGACCATGTTTCTCCAATGTTTGATAGCCGGAATCTCAGACCAGAGCACGCGGGAGAAGCACCTTTCACAAGATGATTGTTCACTGACCTGGGAGACGGCCTGCTCGATTGCCCGGCAGAGGGAACACCTTACGCAACAACTCGCAACATTTACGCTGAAGGACTCGTCAGATGAGCTGCGATTGATTAACACTACACAAAAACCAAAGCCACCCACTGGCGTCAATTTGTTTGTGTGCTATCGCTGTGGTGAGCAGCACAGTTGTCCATCCGACTGCCGGCATCAGAAGACAGTATGTCGAAACTGCGGAAAGGTGGGCCACCTGGCGCGAGTGTGTAGATCGGTCAAGCGACGTTCAAGTGGGGCTTATCGAGGAGCAAACCCCATCAAAACTGTGGATGAGTCTGATGGTAGCGACCCTGAATTACATTCCATTTGGCTTAATTCCGTTTCTAGCATGCAGCCGGCGCCAAACATTCTAGAGCTTTACATTGAAGGACAAAAGGTACAGATGGAAATCGATACAAGAGCATCCGTGACGATAATCCGGGAAAGCGCTGTAAAACGCTCCCGAACTTATCCGCTTGCAATTCTGTTCTTCGCACATACACCGGTGAACCTATACGTGTCCTTGGTAAATGCTTCGTGAAGGCACAGTAGGGCGACAAAATACGCACACTTCCTGTATATGTGATCCCCGGGGATCGTCCAAATCTGCTTG